CAACATTTGTGGGCCATTGGATACTCAAAAATATATAAGTTGCTTTTTTCTGTTTTAAGCCCTGATTCCAACAAATCAAGCATTTTTGCTAATGTCCCTTTCATCTTATTACTTTGTAAGCATTCATTAAAAGTATCACTTGGGGATTTATTTTCTTAGGGTTGCTTAGTTTTATACGTAAGCAATCCCAATAACTATTGCTTCTCGTAATATGTGGAACTGTAGCAATTTTATCCTAATCTTAAGTAACATTTTTGACAACTTAATGTTATCGTAACATTCGTGCAACAAAATCCCTATCTTAATTTACCATTTATATGCTTGATTAGGAATATTTATTAAAATAGTATATTTAACAGAACTAGATATATATATAGAGTTAAAAACATGTAATATTTGTTGTTCATTCTGCAATGTCCTTAACTCTTGGTTACTACTAAAAATAAAATTTACTCAAAGACTATTCAAGGGTCAATCTGACCCACTCATAAAAATAATTTTTATTATGTTCATAACAAAATATATATACATAAAACATACTATTTATTGAAAAATACATATTTAGCTTTAATTGATTCACAATTACTTGTTATCTAAACAGTTTGGACATACAATAATTGAGCATGTGTTGCAAATCGGAATTTTGCAAGAGGAACAAACACTATTAGTTTTCCGATTTTTTTTTATAAAGACAAATGCTGCAACGCTTCCTTTTAGATTTATTGACTTTCCAGATACTTCATCATAAACAATTTTACTATTTACACCTGTAATGTTAAGCATCGCGTAAAATATCACCATAGGCCACTGTCGAAAGAGCTATCTCTTGGCCTAAAGTGGATGCTGGTCCTTTAGATTTTCCAACTGGAATCGGTATAATATTGTGGGCTGGGGTTCGACTTTGAGCTGGAGGTTGTTTGGCCAAACGCATACAGTTATTTTTTCCAAAGTAATAGTTAGAGCGATCTGGAAGGGGGGAAATCTGTTCGTCTAACTCCTCTTCAATATCAGCCA